CATATTTATCAACCAATCTAAATATGTGCATGACCTCTTGAAGAAATATAAGAAGCTCTCTCTTGTGGTCATTAATCTTCAGTAGATTCTTATCTTTTCCGCTGCATCATCACTGTCAAACAGATCATCCAAGTAAGTAATTAATTCCAAGAAACCGAGTTAATCGATCCTACAAGAGTGATTTTTAACAAAGAGATTTGTTTATCCATATACTTTGAAGACACCATCTGTCACTTTCACTGGTCTGGATACCTCATAGAGATATGGGTTGAAAGCTATAATATCAGTGCATTGGTGAAGTCCGAGAGAAATACCTTCAAAGTAATTGGTAAAAGTAGTTGTTACTGATTGACTGTTGTAGCAATCTGTTAGCATGGTTTCATGCTGTAGCATTTTGACAGCATTGGTCAACTGGAAATAGTATTTATATCTCACCCGAAAAGTCATACACCCTAGCTTGCTTTATTATTCTGTTATCTCTTATTTTTAGTTGTGTTAACTCTGTTCTAATCAAAGTCTTCGAATTCGCCTTCTGAAATCATTTCCTTAACTTTACTTTCTTTTAAACTTTTACTACGATCCCTGTGAACGATATCCGGTACTTGTACCACTTTTATTACTTGAAAGACGATATTGGGACTATTTGTATACTTGTTTTTGGTCCTGATTGTAATCTGTGGTTTTCCACCGATTAGTGATCAACAAGCACGGTTGGCAAGCATTGTGTGAGGTAAAGAATTCTTTTAACTTAACATTGATTAAAGAGTTTTATACGGAGGCTTGTGTCTATAGTACCACCAAACTCAAAGTAAGGGGTGCTAGGGTGAGCTTTTCGGCTAAGGCCATAAACAAACTTCTAGGCCTTTCACCCCTAACAAAAACTAAGTATGGTACCCTATCTCAAAAGGCTTCCCAAGCTAAATTAGATGAGATTGGTAGGGAGGTAGGAATGCCCGGAGCTACGTGGGACTCCCATAGCAACTACATGCTAAAGACTTTTAGGGCCCAACTTGACACCCGATGCAAATGTATGGATAAACTTTATTTGACATTCTCTCAACCCGACCACTCATGATAGCTCAATATCAGTTGAGAGAATCATCTTACTTTACTGTGTGGTTATGGGAAAATCAATAGATGTGGGGGAAGTGATTGAAAAGGACATCTTGTACTATTCAAGGAGAAATCAAGAGAAGTTATTTTTCCCGGGCCTACTTAACAAACTTCTTTTGTAAGCTGGTGTGCCTCATTATACAAATGACTTGGTGATCAAGGAGAGCGAAGAAAAATGGTCCATTGATATAAAGGCAGTCTCGCGGTTAAGAGAGCGAGGTGATAGAGGAAGGGAGCATACGGGGATGACTAGAGTAATGGAAGATTTATTTGCACAAAGCAGCAGCTTAATGGACTGTTTGCTTGACCACCGGGCTGAAATGGTAGAGAAGATTGACGGGGTGCAAGCTGAGTTAATGGAGCGGTTAAAGGCAGGTGAAAAAAAGACAAAGAAGAGGTTTCTAAAGTTAAAAGAGGAGCTGGAGGAGGGAGCAGTTGGTAAGATCAAGAGGCTGCAAAAAAGATTGAAGCACTACAAGGCAGAGAATGAGAGACTGAAGGCTGAGATCAACGCGGGTACAACAGCCGCGGCTGTCCGGAGCACACAACCTACTCCTTCGGAGTAGGATAGGTTCTACCACCGTACTTTAGCTTCCATATTTTACTTTTTGAGTCGGGAATAGTCTTTAGTAATTTTTAGTCTTATTTTTTATGTATGATCACTTGAGTTGAGGTATGTTGCACATGAGATCATAACCTCAATAATTCTACAGATTACTTGTCATTCAACCGAGGCACTTTGTTCTTGCTAGAACTAGCAAACCACTTTTTGGGAGAACACTTTGATCACACAATTCACAATAGGAAATGATATAAGCCTTCTTTTCTATGATCATCTTAAGCCACTTGCATCCTTTCAAACACCGTCTACCCCACAAAACTCCAATGAGGACATTGTCGAATTTAAGTTTGGGGGAGGAGTTTATATAAGAACAAAAAGTCGATACAAAATAGCAAAGCTCTAAATTGACTCTTTATCACAAAAGGGTTTAGAAAAACACTACAAAAGTCCCATAGGGGCTATGTATTTTGAAAAAGCACAATAAAAGTTCCATAGGGACTATGTGCACACTCCAATCAAAAGAGGCCAAAAATGCCCAAAAATTGAAAAAAAATTAAAATGGAGTATAAAAGGAAAAAGGCTATGAGAAAAAAGAAACGCCAATGAGAGTAAATCCTATAAGCCCTATTGATCCTAATTATGTGATTGTGTTTGAGCTTAACGAAGAAAAGGGAATGCTAGCCTATGGTTCACACAAAAACTTGGTTTTGAATGACTCATCTTGGATTTATAAAAGGCTATGAACTTCATGTTTGGTATAACTCTCTTTGAGTAGGCACTTAATGCCTTGATCATGCATTTTTGTTTATATTGAGTCTTTGTATTTGTCTTTTGGTTGCTTGGGGACAAGCAAGGGTTTAAGTTTGGGGGTGTGATATGTGTTGAGAATTCAACATATAATGCACTCACTTTACGTCTTATTAGTTAAATGTAGTTTCCTTTCATTCCCACTCAAATATGTATTAATTGTATTTCTGGATATATGAAATACATGGTTATCTGCAAATGTGGAACCTGGGGCATTACAAAGACCGGACAGCTTGTGACAATCATATGATATAGAAGGCCGACCAATTTACTGTAGGGGTGTTAAAAAAATGTTGG